CATTAAAACGATAGCAAATTAAGATACTGTTCATTGCTCTTTGTTAGATTCATACTCATAAAAGAATAAAAGAAAATATAACAAATTCACCATTCCAGTGCTTTTTAGGATAGAATTACTGGATTGACACAGGTCAATTAACTATTTGTTACTAATTGGCTGCAACAGGTTTAGTAATTAAGGGTCAGCATTTAGAAACCATTATAGTAATCTGGCTTGCCACACATTGAAGTGACTGGAATCATCTCATTAAAAACGCTATACACTCTGGGTATTAAACTCAAGCATGAAATCATGTGCAAGCTCTGTTGTAGCCAAGTATAACAGGACCACATATAATATTAGTTCACAATAAATTTCTACAACAATAACAGAAAATATTGGCCCTACATCAAAGATAGTTTCAGAAGAGTCATATTATACTAATTTACTAAATAAGATGATTTGTTCTCAAAAATTGTGGTTTCCGTATCTTGGCTAACTGAATAATGCTGCAATAAACATGGGAGTCCAGATATCTCTATGACATACCGATTTAATTATTTTTGGATGTATACTCATCAGGGGGATTGCTAGATCATACTATAGTTCTATTTTTAATAGTTAAAGGAATGTCCATACTTTTGTTCAGTTGGCTGTGCTAATTTACATTCCCAACAACAGTGTATGAGGGTTCCCTTTCTTCCACATCCGTCCCAGCATTTGTTATTTTTTGTCTTTTTGATAATAGCCATCCTAGCTGAAATAAAATAAAGTCTCATTTTAGTATTGATTTGCATTTCCTTGATGATTAGTGATGTTGAACAATTCTTTATATACCTGCTTGCTATTTTTATGTCTTCTTTTGAGAAATGTGTATTGAGATCTTCTGCCCATTCTTCACTCACATTATTTGGTTTTCTACTATTGAGTTGTTTGTGTTCCTTACAAAGAATACGTGGTATTTACATACAAGATGGAATACTATACAGTCATAAAAAAGAATGAAATCCTGCCGTTTGCAACAACATGGATGAACCTAGAGAATATACTGTTAAGTGAAATAAGTAGACACAGAAAGACAAATACCACACAATCTCACTGATATGCAGAATCCAAAAAAGTTAATTTCACAAAAGTAAGGAGTAGAATATTGACTACCACAAGCTGGGAAGAGTAGCTAGGGAGGGGGAATGGGGAGAGGTTGGTCAAAGGGTATGAAGTTACAGTTAAATAGGAGGAATAAGTTCTGGTATTCTGCTGCAAAGTAGGGTAGCCATAGTCAACAATGATATATTAAATACTTCAAAATAGCTAGAAGAGAGAACTTTGAGTGTTCTCACCACAAAGAAATAACAAGTGTCTGAGGTGACAGATATGTTAATTATCCTGACTTTAATCATTACACCACATATAGATGTATAGAAACATCACAATGTACCCCATAAATATGTACAACAATCATGTGTCAATGAAAAATTAAACATATTTTAAAAATTAATTAAAATTGTGGGTTAATGGTGAGAAAAATGAATTCAAATATCTTTAGGAGCCAGGCAAGTACTGTAAATGAGTGAAGTAGATCAGACAAGAGATACTATAGAAAAGCTTGAGGACTGTGGCAAACCAGAGAGGCCCAGGATTAACAGGGCAGCACTAGTCCTCTTCATCTGGATGTAGCCATGTGTATATACAGAGACATTCTGTTTTCTCAAGAGAGAACACAAATCAAACATATTTCATGTAAAAAGATCTAGATTTTAAAACATTGGCAACAAACTAATTTTCATTAAGAACATAATGGTAGTCCTAATTATCCCATCTACTGTCCAGATTAGGTATGTGACCTGCCACTTTGTTAACCAAGCATTAGGAAAATGATGTATTAGATGTTCATAGAAGTGCCTCTCTTTCTAGAATCTGTTTTGGGAATAAAAGAGGCACTCTTTAAGGAGTCAGGCCATCTCCCTTTGGCTACATCATGTATGATATATCACATAAAGGGAACAAAGACCTGAGCCTTTAAAATGCTTTGCTTCCCAAAAGTTTCTCTAGGTGGGAGGCCAGCCTGATAACTACACATTTGTGTTCAAGCCAACACCAAGCCATCTTTACCCTGTAAGTCTCCTGCCCTTAGGTTCAACTCTGGGGCTCATCTCTCCTCATGCACCATATTTTCTGCAGTCTTGACCTGAGTCTGACCCCAGCCTGCTCTGACACTGCTTGTGATCACTGGCCTGGTTGGCAGCCACAGTCACCTCAGCTTCTGTCTTTGCTCACTTGGCCATTAGTTTTCTCAATCGCAATAGGGTGCTAGCCACCAATGCTGTCCTGTCCACAGGGCACAGGCCAGAGGGACTCCTTCCTCACCTTTCCCTCCTGCTATTAGAAATGCACACAAGGGAGGGGCCAAGATGGCTGAATAGGAACAGTTCTGTTCTCAGCTCCCAGCAACACCAACAAAGAAGGTGAGTGATTTCCACATTTTCAATTGAGGTACCCAGTTCATCTCATTGGGACTGGTTAGGCAGTGGGTGCAACTCATGGAGAGTGAGCAGGAGCCGGGTGGGGTGTACCTTCACCCAGGAAGGATAAGGAGCCTGGAGACCTCCCTCCTCCAGCCAATGGAAGCTGTGAGGGACTGTACTACCCAGCCCAGATACTACGCTTTTCCCAGGATTTTTGCAACGTGCAGATCAGGAGTTTCCCTCACTTGCCTACACCACCATAGCCCTGGGTTTCTAGCACAAAACTGGGTGGCTGTTTGGGCAGAGACCAAGTTAGCTGCAGGAGTTTTTTTCATACCCTAGTGGTGCCTGGAACCCCAGCAAGACAGAACTACTCACTCCGTAGAAAGGGGGCTGAAGTCAGGGAGCCAAGTGGTCTCACTCAGTGGATCCTATTCTTATGGAGGCTAGCCAGATAAGAACAACTGCCTTGAAATTTGCACTGACCGCACAGCAGTCTGAAGATGACCTGGGATGATCAACTTGGGGGAACGGGTGTCTGCCATTACTGAGGCTTGAGTAGGTGGTTTTCCTCTAACAGTGCTAAGGAAGCTGGGAATTTTGGACTGTGCAGAATTCACCACAGTGTGGCAAAGCAGCTGTGGCCAGACTACTCTAGATTCCTCCTCACTGGTCAGGACCTGCAGCTGCTGGAGAGAGGCCTGCTTGCTGCTCAGATGCACAGGAGAGAAAGTGATGACCTGGGCTAAGGCTGGAAATGCTCTGCAGCTCTCCATAAGGAATTACGCAGTGGTGGGATGGGCATCTTGACAACGAGTTCCCTGGGAATATGAGGTTCACTGGACATGAGGTGGCAAGAAAGGCTTCTGGGATTCAAACAAGAACATCTCCCAAATGGCCCAAAGGACAACCCCAACACTATTTCCTTCCTTCTCAGGACACTCCTCTGAATTAGCCAAAGGCAACGCTAGGTCCTTCTTAGACAGAAGCAGAGAGAGAGACCAAGTCATCAGGCAGAAGGTGCAGCGGGGACACCGGAGTGGGGATTGTTTGACTCGTCCCTCTGTTCCTGTCTTCTGCTGCTGGGCACAGTCCCGTCTCTCTACAGGGCTAAGCAGGATGTGATTCTCACAGCCAGTGGCCCACATGCCCAGTGGTCACCTGACAACCAGGCCCACTGCACCTTGGGGAAGCCCACCTGTGAGTCTGCTGTTAGGGAAGGAGACAGATGCAGCTGTTTATTAAGGGCGACCCTGTGCATGCACTGTGTGGAGCAGCAGTTTACAGCCCCAACTGGGCTCAATCTCAGAAAAATACACATATGGAGGAACTCTTATTACCCCATTTACACATGAAGAGATCTGCTCAGAGGGAGGAAATGAAAGTCCAGTATCATCACATGGCCAAAAAGTGGCAAACTGGGATCTGAAACCAGGCCCTCAGCTCCCATTTTTGAAACTGGCTGGGCAGCCTCTGACCAACCTCTGTGAACCACCAGCAGGCAGCAGACTGTGGCCCCCAAGGACCCAAGGACCAGGTGACAACCTAAAATGTGGACACTCACAGGCAAGGGGACAGATGGCTACAACACCTGATGTGACACCTTTTTTAAACTTAGCACAGAGCAGGATGTTTTGTAAAGGATTGCCTGTGCTTTAGAGGCCATTGCTTGGGACAGAATTATTTCTATACTTCTTAAAACATATATTCAGTCACTGATAATTCTTTGGTGTTCTATGCAATATAGGGTCGTTATAATGAATAGGTATTTAATTTAAAAATGAGATTGTTAATCCTGTTTTAAATGAAATACATTTATAATTAAGCAGATTCATCAATAATTAACAACCATTAAACACTTCTTGAATTGCCCGTCTTAGGCTAGATCATAGGTTTTATGTAATCTCATGACTTATTTTACCAGTGTCCTGAAGAGAGGACAGAAAGATATATTCACAGCACTAGCTACGAATGCCTGCCTCAAGTCCTCTTTCATAATGAGGGAGGGTATAAAGAAGTAAGAAATGCAATCCAGCAGGCCATCATTTCTTTTTTGCATTTTTCAGGATGGTTTCTCCTTCACTCCTCAACGTCTATGTAAAGCCCCTGTTCCGTTAAGTTCATGCCAGCCAGTGTGCCCCCTCTCCACCCACCCCATGACCGCCGCCATCTGACTTCAGTCCTTTGCTATCCGGAATAAAGCCTCCTGCTCCTTAGTCAGAGACTGCAGCTCCACCCCAGGCCCCAGCATCAGGCTGGGAATTCAACAAGCCTCAGAGGTCTCCAACCAACTCCCTGGCCTCACAAGGCCTTCCTGTTCCAAGGCAATGAGGAAGTCTCTATGTCTACCCCAGCCAGTTCCTCCCCGAAAGGCCAGTGACCTCACAATCACCATTGAAGACTGCCCCCTCTAAAATCACGGATTCAAAACTCCCCACACTGTCCATCCCTTCCACCCCTTCACCTCTCTAGGAATAGCTTCTCCTAGATGTCTCACAAACACCTCCAATCCAAAGTGATGGAAACTGAGTGGAGTCAGAAACATATTCATGGATTTGCATCCTTTAATAGCACTTGTTGATGACAACAGCAGGGATTCCTCAGCTATGATACGTTTTTGCCCTGGTTAAGCCTGTGAGGATCCCTTCCAGGCTCTGGGACCCAGTCTTCAGCCATTCTTCTCAGATTTAGGCATCTCATCCAACAGAAAGGAGGTTACATCACTCTCGAGGCAGTGGGGCTCACGGTTGTTGTCCACTTCTCTCTCCCCATCTTGTGAAGTGTTGTTCATATTGTCATTGTGGCTGGCCTCCAGGCCTACCTGCTCCATGATGTAGTCACCAAGGCAATCGAGCAAGGCAAGGAGGCTATTTATTATGGAGGAACTTTGGCTTTGGGCATCTCGTTCATCCTGAACAAGGTGGTCAACAAAGCTCCTAGGGACCTGTAGCTCATTTCTAGAAGGGTCTTGATTCTGATTGTTATTTGTAGGAGAGTTCTTACAGTTATTTGTCTCTGACATTATGTTTGCTTGGTCTGGCTCGGCTGAGCTATGCTTGATTCTCCAGCTCCAGTAGGTCTCTAAGGACACTGGCACTTAGTCCTGCCCACTGTGTCTCTCTGCTCTAGGCCCTGATTGGTCAGGGAGCTAGCTGCCTTTGTGACATCCTAGACTTTGGGATTTCATTGGTGTTCACTGGTCCCTGATCAGACCTCAGCCTAGAAATATCTGTGACACTGACCTCGTCACCCTAATGACTGAATCCTGATTTTGAGGGAACTATAACTTTTTACCTGATTTTGACATTGTAAAAATAAATGTGTGTTTCAATGGAAAATTTTGCTCTATCTTCAGGACATCACTGCAAGTTATCTGATTCTAGCCTTACATTATCTCTGAAATCTTGCATAGGTTTTTGTTAGTTGTAGGCCACAGATACATGTACAATATATTCTTTAGTAGAGGTTCAGTTGTCCTTCACCTAATGAAACCAGTTTTACCTCCATTTACACAATCATTTAATATTCCTGATGAATATTCCCATATCAACTCTTTGGTTTCCCTTTTGAAACTGTTATAATAACCTTTTCTTTTAGCATGTGTTCATTTCATATCTGTATGAGTGTCATGATTTTATTTGAAAAATATTTTTAAATCATTTTGCAATTAATAATAAGATGCTCAATACCTGTTAGTGCCAGGTAAACATAGTTGATGGAGAAGTACATCTTGTGCTCAGTTTAAGCCCAGATGTGTATTTCTTGTCTCTCCTAGGTGAAGCAAAAGCACTAAGAGATGTTTCTTTTCTATTATTTAATTTTCCTCTCTGCTAATTCTGTGTTTTCCCTTTGAGTTTTATTCATTTACAGCCAATAACTTTGCCATTCCACAGGGGAAAAAGTGGAAAGAAAATAGTCTCGAATCCAAACAATTTCAAAATCTAACCATTAGGTTTCAAGGCCTGGGAATAGTCTACAGCTTGAGACCCCTCCCTCTGATCACTCTGATCCTGTAACTTCACCTGGGGTAATAAATCTTTCCTCTGGTCTCTAGGTTCTGCCCTCAGTCATTTTTCCTTTATTTTGAATGGCAGCATATGTTTACAGTCGAGTAAGTTTTATCAGCCTGCTTTGTCCTGTCAAATTTTGGGAGTCCTATAGCCTTCTTTCATTTCTTCCTCTATTTGTCCCTTTCAGTCTAAGCTGGCGTTGTCTCTACTGATAGAACATTCTCAAAAACTTACATGTCTTTTATGTATGTCATGAGGATTCATGCCATTAGACAAGAGTCTTCTTCACAGATTTCTCATAGAAAATTCCATCTCTATTCCTTGCTTATTTGAGAAGCACACCCCATATCTCTTCAAAATGTCATCTGTGTGTTTGAATACTTTGGTCTTTTCATCCCTTTAAGGCGCCAGCAAAAAGATGGATAGCCATGCCCTTGATTTTATCTCTGGAGGATGATTTCGTGGCAGTGAATTCACTAATTTTGGTGTCTTTTGCAATCTGGATAGACTGAGAATTTCTTATGTCAGTAAATCCTGGTTTCTTTTTGCTTAACAGTTCTCCCCTCATTTTATGTCTTTCCTCTAGCATTTTACTATAAACAGCAGAAAAAAAAAGGCCATTCCTTTAGTCCTTTGCATGAAAATCTGCTCAACTAAATATTCAAGTTCATTGCTTACAAGTCCTGCTCTCCACATAATTATAGGGCATAATTCAGCTAAGATTTCTGCTGCTGTATAACACAAACTCCCTTTTACAATATTATGTTACTAATTTCTTTCTAAGCCTTCACCACCAACACCTTTAACATTTATATTTCTATCAATAGTTTGTTTACAATCATTTAGGTGTTCTCTAGGATAATATAGGCTTTCTCTACTGTGCTCCTCATATCTGAGCTCTCCCTAGGAGCACTTTGAACATTCATATTTCTACTGACGGTCTGTTCAAGGTAATCTAGAGTTGTTCTATAATGCTCCTGAAAATTATTTCAGTCCATAGATATTATCCCGTTGCAAAGCCCCTTCCACCTTTTTAGATATTTGTTATAGCAGCAACCCACTTCCAGGGACCAAAAATTGTAATAGATCCCTATGGCTGCTATAATGAATTGCCATAAACTTGGTAGCTTTAAAATGCACTCTTAGTATCTTACAAACCTGGAGGTCAGACGGCCCAAATCAGTTTCATTAGGCTGAAAATAAGGTGCCAACAGTTCCATGCTCCCTCTGGGGACCCTAGGGTAGAGTTTGTTTCCTTGCCTTTCCTAGCTCCTAGAGCTGCATTCCTTATCTCATGGGCCCCTTCCTTCCTATTTAGAGCCAGCAGCATAGCATTTTTCTTCAGTAGTCACATTTCCTTCTTCTGTGTCAAATCCACCTCTGTCTCCCTCTTTTATGAACATGTGTGATTGCACTTAGGTTCTATCAGATAATACACAATAATTTCCCATCTTTCACAATCATCTCTGTGAATTCTCTTTTTCCATATAAGGTAACATTTATAAGTGCAAAGAGTTAGGATTGAGATCTTTGGACCATTATTCAGCCTACCACTGGAATTATTCCCTGGAAACTCTGGCATGGAAGAGAGGAATCAAGACAGAGAAGGAAAGGAAGCAAACAAACAAAGTGTTCATTATTAAGCAGCTAATATCACTGAAAAACTTTAGGTATTCAAGTGGACATAAGTCTAATGTTAATTAAGTGAGGCTGTGTTAGAGGTAATGAGGTAATGCTAGAGAGGGCCCCTGAAGAGAGGTAAACAGGATTATTTGACATGTTAATTACATAAGAAGCATTGTTAAAATTTTTTAAAAAGTAATTTTTAGTTTTCTTCAGGTTATATTTTAGTAAATGATAACAATATGTTCCAAAATTGTATGGGATTTTTAAAATTCTAGTATGTCTGAATATATGCTATCAATGATAATTATGGTTATTATGTGAAGTTACTGTAAACTATAGAAATAACCTAATTTCCTTGTCAATTATTTTTATTTTTATTTTTATTTTTATTTTTTTGAGACGGAGTTTCGCTCTTGTTACCCAGGCTGGAGTGCAATGGCGCGATCTCGGCTCACAGCAACCTCTGCCTCCTGGGTTCAGGCAATTCTCCTGCCTCAGCCTCCTGAGTAGCTGGGATTACAGGCACGCACCACCATGCCCAGCTAACTTTTTGTATTTTTAGTAGAGACGGGATTTCACCTTGTTGACCAGGATGGTCTTGATCTCTTGACCTCGTGATCCACCCGCCTCGGCCTCCCAAAGTGCTGGGATTACAGGCTTGAGCCACCGCGCCCGGCCTGTCAATTATATTTTTAACTATGATTGTTTATAATCACTTCCGCAGTTAATTGCTTAATACTGATGGAGTTTCTGAAAACTTCAAAGGCATGGTGTCTTTTAGGAAGTTTATGAAAAGATGGAAAGGACCTTAAAAACGTTTTTTTTTTAATTTATTTTTATTTTTTTTATTATTAAAAGCATTCTTTATTATAGGTTTCTATTAAGTTTAAAATCATATCATTTGAACTGCGTAAATATTCCTAGAACTTCAATGAAAAGACTGACTGGGTTATAAAACTGGTAACCCAAGTGAAACAAAAATTAATTGAATACCAAGAAAATACTTTGCCAAATATTCATGTTAGATCAGCTAGTATTAAAACTGTCTAAATATACAATTTAAATAAAATCCATTATCTAAGTCAAATTACCTATGATAACTCATCAGTTATCAGTGCTATGCACCTAACTTGGAGCACAATTGGTATTCAAGAGGAGGTAAGTTTAATGTTAATTAAGCATGGACTCATGGAGAACCAGGATAGCCACCTAGTCCTTCCAGAGTCCTAAAAAAAAAAAAAAAACCTTTAGCTTCTGTTATTAAAAGTTCTGCATTTCATGACTCATCATGGAAAAGGTAAAATGATCCAAATTAAATATATTGGTGTGGTGACTTATAAATTGCTAAAATAGCTTATAACCAATGTTTGGTTTCATATTCCTGGGAAGATAATCAAAGCTTCAGGTACATTCGGCTACATGATAGGTCATTTAAACATTGATAAAGGGATTTCATTCAATTGTCATTTTCAATGTATGTTTTCTGGTTGTATAAAAGATTTCTTATGCAAGAGAGCTAATACTGTAACACTAAGTTATTATGCCACAGTGTATTCTCACCAAGTAAAGAAAGCTTTTTATAGTTCACTGAGGACAATCAACCCCTTCACAACCTAGAACCTGAAGATTGGATCTTCTGGGAACATCAGAGAAAGATTTTCCTTGCCATCCACACTGCAACAAAACTTTAGGATCTTGAACTTTGGGTTCATAACCTCACAGCTGAGAAGGGTTCCTCTGCACTCTTGACACGGCACACTCATTGGAACCCTTAAGGAAAAGCTAATCAGGGAAGTCACTCCCCAGAAGAAGATGACATCCTTGATGTGAACAGCTATTCCCAAGATCACTGATTAAGACTTCTCTAGTATCATGAGAGTCTTATCTTTAAATATTTTTTCTTGTTTATGCCTCTATGAGCAATAGAAATGAAAAGGGGGTCTGTTCTGTTCACTTACGGGGTATACTTACATCTGTGAAGGATTTTGTAGCCAGCTTTATACATGGATAACCTTATACTTTAATAAAGATGATGGCCCAATGTAGGTAAGAAACTTAAATGGTACATGTTTCCTCATAATCAGGCAGAAACAGAACATTGGTTCATTCCTCTTAACCCACATCATGGGTTAAAGAGAGCATTGCCAGGAGGCCTTCACTCTTCTAGAAAAGCATCATTTGTTAGGTAATTTTTGCATGGTTTGGAGTAAAAGAGGCAATGATCAGAAATGTATCCCTCATGATAGTCTCTATAGCAGATTCTACTATAAAGGCTATAGTGACACAACAGAGTTTAAATTCTCTTGTGAGAGTTATGCTAAATAATATAATTGACTAAACAGAGAAGTATCTGTGCAGCTGCTGGCACTTGTGGCCTATGGAGAAATACATCAAATGTAGATTATAGAGATTCAGTTGCAGGGGATTAACAAAGAGACTGC